CTTCTCTGCAATGGCTGCGAACGTCTTGGATTTTCCTTTGTCATGTCCGCCCTTTCCTTTGCCATTCTCATAGGATGGATAACCCTTGTTTCCATCATAGGGAAATTGGAATTTTGATTTTCCTTTCTTTCCCTTCTTTCCTTTGCCTTTTCCCCAATATGCCTGGTTGTAAGGATCATAATTTTCATTGGCCATATTGGCCTTCCCGCCAGAACCGCTTTTTCGAAAGGGTTTGAAGCCACCTCGTTGGTGACTGCCCTTTTTGTTTCCTGATTTTCCTTTTCCTTTTCTTTTCTTGAATCTGAAATTCCGCCCTGACACTTTTCTTGCTATGAACGCATCGTTCTCCTCGAGGACCCAGAATGTCTCTTCATCGTTGTTTGACATGAATCCTTCAACCCCTTCTTCATCCTCAACCCAAAAGCCTTCTTCTCCTTCGTATTCACCTTGTTCGATGATGAAGAAGGTGTTGCTTCGGTTGCCTCCTTGAGGTCGGATGGATGGATCTTGAATGGATGTCCGGGTCGTGGTGAAGAGTTCATGGTAATGTGTCTTCAGCATCTCATAGGAGTAGTTCTCTAGTGAAATGTTTCTCAGTGACATTGCACTGGTCAGTCTTTCTCTCTGCTGATCTGACAATTCACTCTGAATAAAGAAAAACTGCGCAATGAGATTATCTCCGAAGAATGCGTCCCGCTGTCTGTCCTGCATTCCCGTGATACACTGTCTGAGGACTGTTGGATCACCCTCATCGAGCAGGACTGGAGGCGGTACTCGAGTACCAGCTGCTTGCTGATGTCGAGCAATGTTTCTTGCGTTTGCGTCCTGTACGGACTGTCGAAATGATGGAACTGTGCCGTGAAAACGGGCATCAAGTCCATCCATGCTGCCTTCAATCTCATGAGAAGGATTTCGAATGTTGAGGTAAAAATGAGGAACTCTTGGTTCTTTCTTCAGCGTGTTCTTGAAGTAGTTGATTCCTTCATCAGGATCTTGCAAAAGGTCATTTTGGAGGACTGCCTTGTACATAAAAGGCATCTCCTGTGAGTCTGCTTTTCAGCAGAGGTTTTTTTGGGTGCTTCCACCGTAGTGATTGTCACCCAGTCGTCCGCGAGTTCTTCATACCTGAGCCAGCTGACTTTTCCGTTGTACGATGGCGGCTGCTTGGCGGTCCTCGATAAATTGAGCGTTCCTCTGTATAGCCTGATGGTTTGGCCATACTTGAATAGGCTTCCATGAGGCCTTCTCCATCCAATGACATTTTTCTTGGATCTCTGCGGAAAACCCGCTACCACAAATTGAGGCCCACTGCCGGGGTGCCTATCCCAGGAGGGAACTGGTACTCTGTGGTAGTAGAGGTTGTTGATTTGGTCCCTGGATCTATTCCGGAGAGAGTCCAATATGCCAATATGGAGGATTGGATGATGGATTGTCCCTGGTGGCTTGTCTTGACTGTGAATCCTGTAAAGCGGTCTGGAAGCCTTTTTATCAATGTACCATGAGTCGAATGACTGTACAAATGACTTGAAGAGCCTTGAGCCATCATGTCAGCGGAGTGTGTGAATAGGTCAATGTGCAACAAAAAGCAACACAGGGGGGTGGGGGGGGGGGGGGCAGCAGCCCCCCCATGATAATTGAAAAAATGATGATTCAAAAAGTCTAAAAAGTAGCGGGGGGGTTGGGGGGGTGGCAGCCCCCCCCATGATGATCGAAAAAGTGATGATTCAATTAGGGCCAATATATATATATATTATATATATATTATACTATATATATATTAAAAAAAAAAAAAAAAAAAAAAAAAAAAAAACAGCGGGGGGGTTGGCGGGGGCGGCAGCCCCCCCATGATGATCGAAAAAGTGATGATTCAATTAGGGGCAAAGAATCTAAAAAGTAGCTGTCGCATGATGATCGAAAAAGTGATGATTCAATTAGGGGCAAAGAATCTAAAAAGTAGCTGTCGCATGATGATCGAAAAAGTGATGATTCAATTAGGGGCAAAGAATCTAAAAAGTAGCTATCGCATGATGATCGAAAAAGTGATGATTCAATTAGGGGCAAAGAATCTAAAAAGTAGCTGTCGCATGATGATCGAAAAAGTGATGATTCAATTAGGGGCAAAGAATCCAAAAAGTAGCTGTCGCATGATGATCGAAAAAGTGATGATTCAATTAGGGGCAAAGAATCTAAAAAGTAGCTGTCGCATGATGATCGAAAAAGTGATGATTCAATTAGGGGCAAAGAATCCAAAAAGTAGCTGTCGCATGATGATCGAAAAAGTGATGATTCAACTAGGGGCAAAGAATCTAAAAAGTAGCTGTCGCATGATGATCGAAAAAGTGATGATTCAATTAGGGGCAAAGAATCTAAAAAGTAGCTATCGCATGATGATCGAAAAAGTGATGATTCAATTAGGGGCAAAGAATCTAAAAAGTAGCTGTCGCATGATGTTCGAAAAAGTGATGATTCAATTAGGGGCAAAGAATCCAAAAAGTAGCTGTCGCATGATGATCGAAAAAGTGATGATTCAACTAGGGGCAAAGAATCTAAAAAGTAGCTGTCGCATGATGATCGAAAAAGTGATGATTCAATTAGGGGCAAAGAATCTAAAAAGTAGCTATCGCATGATGATCGAAAAAGTGATGATTCAATTAGGCGTGCAGAAACTGGCGATGCTGACGATGCAGGAAGGCAAGGCCAAAAACCAACTGGGAAAGCAGAGGATGCGAAAAGCCAAAGAGGATGCGAAATGAAAAGCCACAAAAGCCACCAAAACCCACGAAAAGCCACCCACCCTGAAAAGCACCAAAAAAAAAAAAAAACGAAGAAAAAACATGGCCCTCCATTCAGTTTCCCGGCCAAAAACTAGCCAAGAAGTTTCCTGCAATCCAGGTTTGCACCAGCAGAGATGCTTAGATGTTGGACGCTCACCTCTCCCCTGCAACTCTGGCCTGGTGTTTGTCTGACGGCAGACCCGGGGAGCGACGAGCTGTTGACTCGGTGTTTCCACTGGACGAGCTGTCCACACTGCTGTCGCTCTTGCCACGAGGCGACCCATCACCTATGCTCTCACGCTTTGTTCCAAATGGCTTGCACATGGCAAAAGAATCACTGCTGATCACAGCATACAACCCGCAGATTGTTCATTCGCAGTATGCAGCAAGAGTACATTTGTGCTTCAGAATGTCTGCAAATTGTGACCGGGTTGTGGTGCTTGAATCTGGTGCGTCCTGGCTCGGACCAAGTTCTGGGAATGCTTTGGCTTCAAGATTCAGAATGACTTCTCACGTTGACTCACTGCAGCTTACACGCACAACGTCGTTTAGACTGAATTTGCTGGGTACACCAGCAAAAGAAACACGCTTGAATTGCACAAGCCGCAAGCCGCAAGCCGCAAGCCTCAGGCCAGGAGCTGACTTCAAACTTCGGTTGTCTCATGCCTCAGATGTTCTGGTGCTCCAATGAAAATACATGACCTCCTAAGAAGGACGCCGTTTCCTGCGGCCTCAAATAACACGATCAGGCTGCAAATGGCCGGACGCAATGAAGTATGGTCTTCCTGTGCGCATCTTGCTGCAATCACATCCATTGCTCCAAAACACGGCTGAAACAACGAAATTCTCTGTGCAAGCCCGTCCTCCATGCTTTGGGAATGACCGTCTGCCTTGTCCACTTTCTTCGCGAGAACATCACGTGCGTGGACTTTTTGTTTCTCACCTTTCCTGCACGCAGAAGCAACTGCCAATGCGACTCATTCAGAGAGACAAAAAGAGAGAGAGAGAGCGAGAGAGAGAGAGAGAGAGAGAGGGTAAACGAGCTCGTGCTGAGTGCTGGCCAGTGAGGCAAAGCACACACGGCTGTCCCCAAAGACGTTATCGTTCTTGGGTGGGGGGAGGCGTCGTTGCCGTGGATTGCCCATGCTGTCACTGCAGCACATTAAAGGCGCCCCCCCAAACCCCCCGATAACTTCTAGAGGAAGACTACAAGAAGACTGCGGCTACACTACAGAAAGACTATGGGAAGACCACAAAAAAGACTACAGGAAGACTCGGAAATTCTACAGCAAGATTATGGAAAGATTGGGAAGACTACGGGAAGACTACCGGAAGACTATGAGGAAGGGGTGTGGCATTAGTGTGATTTTGTTCAAAATAATGGAAATGCCTGCCGATTAGTGTCTCGCTTGCGTCCCATCACGCATTGCTTTCCACATTTCCTTGACCTAAGACACCTCGTTCTGTGTGTAATGGAGGCCATCTAGCCTTTTCTAGGCTTTTCAGCGCACACGAATATAGAACACAGACTCATTTAGCTCGAGTACTAACGCGCTATCACCAAGCACGGCGCGGTGGTGAAACATGCAGTACAACGGAAGTGTCTGCTAAATGTCCTTTGATGATGAAAACAAAGAGACCATATGATAGGCACTCACATGCAAGCTTGGGCTAGTCATAACATGTAACTTGTAGACTCCGTTACCAAGGGAAAAGGAAAGTCCAGCACCTTGTTGAGCGATCTGGCCCGACGGGCCTCGGAATCTCCTCAACGGGCCTGGCCAACGCAAAAGCGAGACGTGAGCTGGCGCGCATCAGGAACGCTTCGGACGTCTGCAACACAGGCGATTAGATTGCGATTAGATTGCCATGCATTGCCTTAGGCGATTGCCATGCAGACAGGACACACAGCCAGAAGTGACCCGGCGGATTCCAGGTATATCCTCAAACACGGATTGCATCGCGCCACGAACCCGCACACTCGACAATAGATTGCATCCATGGTTCACATGCCTGGCTGATCGGGCGCTCGACAAATACATCCGGCGCCCTCAATGTCACTTTGGAACGGTGTGCCGGACCCGGTTAAGCTATAAACTGGCCCTTGAGCCATTAGCTTCAGACGTCAACACGCGCTTTCAGCTTCACATCAACATGCACTAGAAGTTTTACTCGGTCAACCCATTCACTCATATTGACAGCACCTGAAGGGCCTGAGGCAAACACAACTTTGTCAGCTTCAAGCCGTCGGAGCCCGGAAAATCCCGGCTCTTCAATGCCTGCTGCTCCTGCAAAGCATGAATCTCTCTTGCCTGCTTCCAAGCCCAAGAGGGGGACAAATAGGATTCAACTACACCAATACACTCTAAAGCAGCAGTGCGCTGTGGGATACTTTTCCGAAAGCAACTTAGAGCTTCTCGCACGCAGAGTCCTCCAGCCATGGTCTGACGCGGGAAAGGTCCACATCCGACTCCCACGCAGGCTTGGTGGTGGCCAATATGACATGCCGATACGCCTCGGCGTATAAGTCGCAGGTCCAATGGCAACCTGTGCAGATCCCTGCCTGCTCAGCTCCCTGCAGGAACTCCTAGCATCCAGGAGCTAACTGTGACGTTCAGTGGAAGAATTCTGCAAGTTGAAAAAACTACATGTGGCAGTTTGCTTTGAATTGTCCGAAACTTGTGCGTGTGTGCGCGCATGTGCATATATCGACGAATGCGCCTCAGAAGTGTTCCAGTTGCGGACGAGCTCTGGAGTGCCATCAGCTTGGAAGCTTCTCCCGTGAAGCCAAAAGCGCAGTCGAGCAATGCTCACCTTGCCCCACGTTCTAACCAGTCAATGACACTCCGCAGCTGATTCAAGTCGAGATGCCAAGAATGGGGAGACTGCTGTGAGGATGCGCGAGGAGCGACCTGAAAAAGCTGCCCCTCAAACAAGCTCTGCCATGTAACTGACTACCTTGATATTCAGAATTGTTCTTACATGAACAAGTTGATTGCTAATGATTCAGCCAGGAGTGGAAAAATGTGTCCACACAAAACCTACATAGTTCTATACACAAATGATATTCAAGAATGAAAAACAGAGGTTTGATTCGGAAAGACCACGGTTTATTGAGAAGACCAAGACAAGGGCGACAAAGAAAACTGAAAGATGGCGGTCAAAAACATGATGACCAGGTGCCCAACTCAACCACGTCTCATGACAAACTCAACACCACTTCAACACAACTCAATCCAGTGAATCCCGTGCAAATCGGGCCAAGCATGTTGAAGTACTGAGAGAACCAACAAAGATGCTGGCCGATTGCATCGATGAAGACGGTGGTCTGAAGATGAGGCTCCTGCATCGTCCCTCATGCTCCATGCCAAATGTGCCATGGCCAAATGCTTGGAACAACCTTCTGAAACCTGCTTCCCAAATCGCCTAAGACCCTAAGACTGAACAGTTTGCATGGGCTGCATTGGCTGCATTGCCCTTGCAGCATTGCAGCATTGCATGCTTCAGCGCCTCCAGACCTTTTTGCAATCCTCGCTCTGCCCAGCTCAATAAATGGCGAGCCATTGCGCGGGTTCCCTTCGAGGGACTTTGTGTGCTTGTGATACAGGCATGATTGAAGGGACAACCCGAAGAATACAACATGGAAGTCGCTGACGTTCCACTAAGCACTTTCTGCCTATTTGAGAAGGAGCTTTTAAGTAGAATTGTGCAAAGTCACGTCTCATTCAATGTGTCGTGTAGTCTGAGTTCAAAGGTGAAGCTGCCTGGTGTTGCCATGTTTCACAGCCGCTTGGTCATCAATATATTTCAACTCAATCACACCAATCTTGGATGCATGGGCATGCCTGCAGGTCTTCTCGCAGAGCACAAGAACACGCGGTGCTGCATGCCTCTGTCTTGCCTGCGCCACTTTCGCCAGTGATGAGCAGCGCTTGCCTGGCGATTCTGCATCCAAGCTGCCAAAGCAAGACATGTGTGTTGCCTTGCTCAAAGCGCAGATTACATGAGATACCACTGCCTTCGGCTTGGCGAAGCGAGTGCTTGGCCCACGACAGCGTAAAGATGCGGAGCCTCGCCACAAGCAGTAATATAAAAGTCACGTCTGATGACTTAGCACATTCAGCACCTCAAGAGACAGCGCCGCCAAAACAAACTTAACGCACAAACCATCTGCAAAGATCATCGTCCATGCATGGATCACAGTTTTCGCAATGATGAGGCCAAAGGCGATGCATGCCATGTATTCCACTGGCAAAGGCCGCGGCCTGCGCCTGCGGCATTGAATAATATTGTGCTGCTGTTTCCTGCAGAATCAGCACACCAGTGCGAAGGCATCATGCTGCAACTTGCAGAACAGCATCTGACCTGTCTAGCATCAGGACGGTTGAACACTAGTAAGTTGGCGCATGAGGCTACTGTAACACATGAACATACTTGACAACACAACTCAAATATCCGCAAACAGAGAAGCCAAATCAAAGTATGGACAAACAAGCAAGGCAACACAGAAACACTGAAATACGCAAACGAGCGAGCCAACGCTCAGCCATGTTCGCCAGCAATATGAACAGCAAACTGTGCTTCTAAATTCACGTCGCCTCCGTGAAGGCACCCACATCGGAGTATGGATTGACGGAGACTAGCACGTCGCCCAGCCATGTGTATATCATCTGCTGCGCATACCTGGCAACGAGACAACGTTGGCAACATGCCTGTGACATAAAATATTGCCAGCCTTGCTGGAACTAGCAGACAACAAAACAATGCTGCGACGATGTCCCGCACCGAGAGTTACACACACTTTTGTACACTCGCTGCACTCAGAAACAAACAAGCACACTTACTACTGGATTAAATGGAGGTGTCAACCAACACGCAGGAGTTGCCGCGACTCTGTCGGAGGCGTTTCTAAAAGTGTGGTGCTCATCAGGCATCCCAAACCTGGTGGCATCAAAGATGGGTTTCCTTGTTGCACGAGGAGGCACAGAGAGAGAGAGAGAGAGAAAAAGAAAGAGAAAAAGAAACCAAAAAAAAACGATCCCCTGAAACTCACCCACCTTGCCCACAGTCCGTGCAAAAGTTCAGCATCACTGAAGTCCTGCTCGTGCAACCAAAAGCATGGGCTTTGCAAAAGACCCAGAGATTATTCTGTTTCCTGCTGCTATGATCAATCCACTGCAAAAAATCAGGTATCCTCCAGACACAGAAGGTCAGAAGGTGTATCGCAGACAGAGTTAGAGCCTGGCTAGAACCAGTATGATCATGCTCAGGCGTTGTTCACGTGCAAGGTGACTTCTGGACATAAAATTGCTAAGAACGCGTGCCTCCATCACTGAGTGAAGAAGCCGAGCCAGCACAGAACCCAACCCTTCTCAAGAGAGTTCTGGATACACACCACTGCGTCTACTCTGCACTCAACAAGCTTGGTCTGCAGCTAGGAAGTGTGCTGGCATCAGAACCTGTCGGTGGCATTGACAGCACAAGCAACAGTGCAGTCACTTCCTCAATCAAATCAGCCCACGATTGTGACCGTGCAAAATGGTTTGCCAAGGCTCCCACGCCGTGCTGCTTGGATACGCCCGCGAGGCAAATCACCACTGCCTTAAATACGAGCACATAACCGGCCGGGACTCAGATGCACATCAAACACAAGGTCGCCAATACTTCACTGAATAAGGCCGGCTCCTTTGTTCTTCCCGGAAAATGTTGACCTCATATGCGCAAGCTTTCACATTGTTGAGGGGTTACAGAGGAATCGCAGACGACGCAGAGCACTTTCTCAAGGCATGGGCATTGTGCCGGATGTCCCACTGCACCCTCTAAACCCAGCTGCAGGAGAAAGAATGTCAAAAGCGCGCTGGCCGTTGTGTTTCATGAAACAAAATAATAATAAACATTTGAATAGAAAGCAACGTCCCTTGAAAGAGATTGCAAGTCCCACTTGGTAAGAAGGGTTAACAGGCTGGAAGGCCAAATCTGCAGCATTTAACCAGCAGCTAAATAAACTGAACCTATCCATATCGATCCAACAACAGAGGAAAAACTATTGTCTGATACTACCGTCCAGTTGGTGCATACTCAACCAAGCCAGCTGTTGGCAGGGTGGCGGCCGCCCCACTTTCCCTGTTCACTGCCATGTGGAATCCTTACCAGAAAGCCACGCGAACGTCCGAATATAGATTCTAGCACTGCGGTGAGGTCTCAAAAAGTAGCAGCAAACAAAACATGAGACCTCCTGCAGGCGCAGCACTGCGTACTGAATTAATTGACTTTCCCAAAAACATGATGCTCATATGATGCTCATACCTGGTGGTTGGTAGGCGGAGCTTATCCATCCTTTAAGGTTCCAAAAACACGGCAGTCCCGCAATTCCAAGTCAAAAATACCAGCTTGAAGATTGAAAAAGCAACGCACTTGCATGCAGGCAAAATTCCCAAACTGTATGTGCTGTCTGCGTGCCTGGAAGCCCCTCCGTCCGGCTAAGACTGTTTTGGAACAAGTGAATGCCGCGACTCAAAGCTGCACAAAGTTCCCTGCGCCCCATCATTTGTATTCACAATAACCTTATTCTGCTGCACTACGCCAGTCCTACTTGCGTGGGCCCGCGTCAGGCCGTGCCTGCCCCTATCTTAAAACAGGGGAACACGCACACCCAAAAGAGGACCCAAAGCAAGGGAGGACGCCAAACGGCGGATGAGTGCGGAGCACAAGATTGTACTATAATAAACTCACACAGCTCAAATAGCCTAGCACTCTTTTCGCTCGGGGATACTCGCTGCACGTGAGTGCGACCCACCTCATGCCTCCTCAAGAGGCGGGATCCTGGCCTTCCAGTCTCACGCAGAAATCCCCCATTCAAGCTGCGTGGTCTGAGTAGTCTGCAGTCACCTTCCTCCAGCCGACATAAGATTTGAATTCTAGTCTCGATGCTGCATCCGCTGGGTTAGATGCACTGAGCACACGAGAGTACCAGTTCCACATCTGGAACTGCGTGTCAAGCCTGTTAGAATCTTGATCACTGCTTCAATCCGTAAGGGAACATGCAGCAAAAGACAAAAGAGTACAACCGACAAAAGATGCGCTTGTTTTTTTTCTTTATAAGGCGTTGCTTGGAAGTCAAAGCTCGGGGGTGCAGGGAGAAAGACAATGCGTGTCCTTTCCCCGTGTCTGCACCCCCCCCCTGCGGGGCCTTCTCAAATGCCCCCGCGGTCAACAAAGCGTGTTCGACCAGGCGCCAGGTGTGTTACCTGTGAGGCGTTAAACAATCGAAGGCATTGGTTGCTGCAGGATGCCGTGCGGGCATCCGGCTGGTGTACAGTGCGGCCCGAGCCGGTACCGGCAGGCGAAGAGGAGCTCTCGGCCTCGGCCTGGCGTCAAGTTGTAGGTGCGCACGATGTTCCAGGGGTTCACCGCCATGGGTCAGGGTGTAGCCGTCCACGCTCACTCCCGCGGTGTGGTGGCCAGGACCACACTGCAGCCGCTGCTGGGGCGAACCGTCCAGTTTGACAGCAAGACGTCCGTGGGGCCCAGGATCTGCTCTCCTATGGCGGCCACCACCTCGTCGGCCCCCCCATCGTCCGGAAAGCGCCTGGAAACAGGCACATTTTTTGGTTGCTGCCCGCGTGGAGTTCCACTGCAGACTGCGCGAAAGCGCGAACACAGAACCTCTCTCTTTAGAGGGGGTTTCCCAAATGGATTCTATTCTACCTGAGAGGCTCCTAGCACTCGTCCGTCCAGGAAACGACCTCGTCCTGCGAAGGATTCGAAGTCTAAAACGCTGCGTGCAGGCGTGTGGCTGCAACATAACAACCCCTAGATATGCGCAGTCACATTTGCCTCGTAGCTGCGTTTCTGCAAGGCGAGCACCCGGCTCAAGTGGCTCTGGCCTTCCCGCGGCTGGGCCGCCAGCATGGCATGGCGTGTGACCAACAGAGCACTGGCTTGTTACATCGTGTCATGTACCATTTGGGTTGCACCATGTGAATCCTTCAACAAGCAAAGCAAGCAAGCCTCAGTAGGCGCCCGGAGTGCCCCGGACGCCATGCAGATGACTGCATGTGCGCCTTGCCAGGCATTTGCTCAGGATGAGGGCTGGACCGCGAATCTTTCGGAGGACTCGTGGCCTCTTTTGCCGGACAATGACAGGGACATGTGCAACCACGCAGAGAGACCGACAAAGGTCCAAAACCTTTCTTTGACAGATCTGCCTTGGTCCGCCACACATGAGGTTGTATGTTTCCAGATCTGCGGCATTTCAGGAGATGAGCAATTTTTGGTCTGTGACGTCCAAGATCATGGTGAAATGATCACTCAGATGTATATTCCTTCCGCTTTGGATTTGCATTGCATGGTGGCTCGAGTAGGAGTGAATCGACATGCGACCTTTTCACTGACTGGAAACCACAGGACGATTTTGGAGAAAGATGGCAAAGACCGGATTTTGCTTTTGACGTTGGAATCTTCGATTTTCATGCGCCATGAGTTCAGGCTTTTCAATCGGGGTGATTTCCCGGGTTACACCATTTTTTCCCCTTTCTGCGGAGGGATTGGTGGTTGGGCCCATGCTGCAAGATTCATGGCGCAGCATGGCTATCCCTTGACATGCCCTTTGGCCTTGGAC